TTACTGTCTTTCTGTCTCTTACCACACAACTGTGACAGAAGCTGCCATGGTTTGTGAATGTCAGAAGACATCCTGAGACACTTCCACTGAAGCATCAACAGGACTGAACTTTAGTTGAGCCAGAGGAGGCAGGAGAATCAACGTTATGGTGGAGGGTGAAGGTGAACCAAGAGAGAGGCAGTTCAAAACCTAGACACAAACTGTCCAACAATCAAAACCATACCAAAAWTTACTGGTTGATCTGTTTTCAGCTTTGAAATGAAGCTCGTCTTTTAGTCCGTTTCTGTGTTAAATCCAAAACACAGAAAACTCAGTTTTTATAGTTTGTGTGCTGTGATGAAATGTAGGATTGTCACTACTGCAGGATCAACATGTTTCATGAAGTCTGCAATATGTAACCAAACTGTGGGATGGTGTTAAAGCTCATCCACACCAACAATCCCTCTAAAAGGGCTGTGTTATGAATTTAATATCATGTTATGYCATTCCTGRGAGCAGCTGAGATGGTAGGAGGTTCCTAAAGATCTAGAGGCCTGTTTCAATGAGTTTAGACAGACTATGATGATGAAAAATCTAAKTGATTTTTGATAAATACATCGTTTTCGTAACTGAAGGTAATAGTTACTTGATTGTGGTGAAGAATTGAGCTCTGTGCCTGGATGTGCTGTCCCAAAATAGATGATGATGATGCAATGACTGCAGGAATGAGCTTCCTGTGTGTCAAATAACCAGTCAATAAAACACAAATAAAACTGCAGTTATATATTTACTTACATATTTGTAAACCAGAAGCTCTTATCACCTGAGTCTTAGTTTCTTGTCTTCTTGCAGGTCCAACATGTGTGTAGCATTTTTGGGTTCATTTCTGGTTTTTAAAATCCACAAAWGGATTGATATTTGGAAAGAGAGACACAAGATGTTGTTTTCATCCAGAGTAGATTCAGTACTCATATGATCCGTCCCAGTTAAACCTCAYTGAGAAAGTGTTTGAGATCCAAGGTTACTGCAGCCACGACGCCCAACTAACTTCCTTYAGATACAAAGTTTGTTCTGTWGGTATTCAWTAYCCCAAAGTTAGTAACTGATCATGACTACATTTACAGGCAGGACTGTATGAAAAAATAACTATTTAACAGAATAACCAGGTGCAAAGACAGTGTGATACATCTACTATAAATTACTAAGAATAAGCTGCTTGACAAACACTGCTAGTTTACTGTCAACAAGCAGAGTAAAGATGGGTTTAATCAAGGTAATACTGAACAGATTACCGTATTTTTCGGACTATAAKCCGCGACTTTTTTCCTGAACTTTGAACCGCGGCTTATACGTGGATTTTTTTCTTCAGCCACCAGGGGGCTCTTATGCTCCATTTGCTTCAACCACTCRCTTCAAAAAAAGAAAAAAAGAAAGAAGAAAAAAGCGATCCTTCCAGAGCCGACTGTTGACCAGGAAGCAGCGATTTAAAGATAGTCAATGGCCAAAAACTCATAAAAGGGGATAAAACAGACATTTTTCATGGTGGAATCTAACTGATAAAAACTTTAATCCAGGACCAGTTTGTGGATAAACGTCGAGTGAAGAGCTGCTGAATTTTGTTTTCCTCATTGCACTCCCCGGGGAAGGAATCCCATGCAGTGACGTATGCTGGAGCGGGAGGGCTTTCCCAGCAGATCGGCTCGGGGTTTCTCGGGGGAACTATGAAAGGTCAGTGCGAAAACAAACGCCGAACAATCACGTGACGGCGCGTCGACCGGTCRACAGCTGAGCGACCATACTGCCAGCTTAGCCAGAGGTGTAGCGCCATTTTGTTTTAGCTAGTAGCAGACACGACACGACGGATCTTCGACAGACATGATATTGGACAGTATGTGGGCCCACATCATGGATTCGGTGAAAGCAGCCATCAAGAAAAACTCAATTTCTGCTTTGTTCCTGGAGGTACAAAGTTTTTGCAACCCCTGGACATCAGTGCATTTAAAGCAGCACTCAGGGCTGAATGGGAGGCTTGGATGACTGACGGGGATAAATCATTCACAAAAACTGGCCGAATGCGAAGAGCGTCATTTCCTGATGTCTGCCAGTGGATCCTAACAGTGTGGAGCAGAGTGAATGAGTCCACCATCACCAATGGGTTCTGAAAGGCTGGACTGCTACGTGAAGAGGACACCACAGCTTCAGAGCCAGCATTGCACTGAACAGATACTGCTGTGTGACGCAGCTTGTCTCAGCTTGTTTAACTCCGACACTGAAGAGGAGGACTTCGATGGTTTCAGTGCGCCGGAGGACGATGAATGAGACGCTTTGTTGGACCAGAAACTGTTAAAGAAAACTAACAAAATAAGGTCAGTTAAATGAACCGTATTCCTCCGAACTTTAATTCTTAAAGGTTTGCTTTTTATGTTGAATTCACTTTGACGGCAAATTTGGGTGTACTGKTTTTTTTTTWWKKTKGGRG